AGTAGTTACCAGAAAACCCCCATAGCTGTTCATCCCCCCTTTCAAGTGAGTGCCATCAAAGCCGTAAAGTCTACGTGCCATTTTTGCAACGCGGATCCCAATGTTTGGGATAAAACAGGCACGCTTGAAAGTCCCATCGTCGTCCTTCTCGAATCTCCAAATCGATCCTGGGTTCTTTTCGGCCATTACAATGAGATAATCTTCTAGCTTTTGATAGCTATCGACCCGATTTCCACAGATACTTTCATCAATGGCTGTCTTGATACGAGAGATAGCACTTAGAGCAATTTTATGGCCTTTTCCCAACAGAAACGAAGCGATAGCTGCCCCAGTCATCCTTTCAGTTTTATTCTCGTAGCGAGGCAGCATCTCAGCCTCGACAGACTGGGTCAATGCTGCCACATCTTGTGTTCTGTTTCTCTTGTCAGAGGCAGGACGCGCGACAGATCCCTCGGCAACAGAACGCCCGGAAAATCCCACGTGCTTGACATGGTTGTGAGTAAAGTTCACTCTTGTCACTTTCCAGTTTCCATTTATCCCACTGACGTTGATCGAGAACAGACAGGTTGTGTCGTTAGGGTCAATAGAGTTGTCGTAAAACTGCATGCCGTTCAGTTTTTACAGACATATTTTGCATTGCCACCCTGGTTCGGCTTGCTGCTGTTGCTTGAAACAGCAAGTTGGAACCTGCAGAATTGAGCAAACTCCTTACAGCGTGCTTGAATGGCCTTCTGGGTACCGTGGGTCTCTGAGGCTACGTTTTCACGTTGGCAATAGGCAACATCAAAGTCTGATTTTGATGGGTCCGTGTCTTGGACCTGAACGTCCGTCTTTAACAATCCTAGGTTTGTTGCCATAGCCAAGTCGGAGCTATCAAGCGTGAACTGAGCCGCTCCATGGTTAAGGTTATTACGCACTCGTACGCTTGTCATTTGGGCAACTTGGATGCAGTGTCAATGGACAGCTGAGGATGTAAGTGGTATAATGCGCGTGAAGAATGGCTGTAACTGATGTCAGGACTCTTTCTTTGAAGATCAGGTATCTAAAAGTAACTTCCGTGTTATTAATGTCATACCTAAAACTTCAAAGTACACGCGACGCGACTACTATTTTTAGAACTACTGAATTGGAAAATAGTAATTCTTTTTTTTTGGTATATCGGAATAACTACACAAATCGATTCATAAATCTCAGTAGTTTTTACTGAGTTATGGAAATTTCTCCAATCTGACCTTTAAAGGCTGGTCCTAAGCAAGGGTGGGTAGGGCTAAAGGTGGGATTTGAGGGCGAACTGGGCAAAAACTAACGAGGGTCCTCACACAAAACGTGTAGTGGGATAGTCAGGTGAGATAGTCGGTAAGTACCAATATCTTACCGGTTTATTGATGTAGACGAAATAATGTAGACGAACTGTAGACGAACCACGAAAGGTTATCAAATACAAAGAGTTCAGCAATGAGCGATACCGGCCCTCAACGCGTTGTCATCTTACCTCCACTACAATCAGTGTACGCCTCGTATGACCTAGCTGAAGATGGGTTGCATCAGTGGACTAAAGATCACGGGTTCAACCTTTCACGGCGCCGATTTCGGTACACAGATGAAGTTGAGAGGAAGATGTGGGCACGGAACTATGAGTGCGATCGCTCCGGAGTCGTCAAGAACACTGGGCACTTGACTGAAGAGACCCGGACGCGCACCATGCGAGGTTCAAAACGTTCAGGATGCCCCATGCGCATTGCACTGCACGCTGTCAGTAAGACAGATACTGAAGGGCATTGGAAGATTTTTCACACGTCACGAGGCATTTACCACAATCACGAACCGTCCCGGGACATTCGTGCTCATGCTGCTGTCAGTCGCCGTGCTGCTCACAAGTCCCAAGAACAAACGTCGGTGACCACGTCCGACCTGGTGGAGATCTAGCCTGCTGCAGGGGTTGCTGTGTCGACAATTCAAGCCACGCTTTTAAGTGCCGATCGAGGCTCTCTCGTGATTGCCAAGGACATCCCCAACACAAAGAGTGCTGTCCGAAGGCGTGACCTAGCATCTCGTACAGCGATAGAAGCTCTATTCGTTGAGCTTCAAAAGCACAACTTCTTTCACAAGTGGTGTTTCAATCCCGAAACAAGCGAGTTAACCCACCTCATATGGGCTCATCCGGACACCTCTGAGCTTTTCAAGCTTCACCATGATGTGTTAGTTGCCGACTGCGCCTACAAGACGAACAAGCATCGCATCCCGCTGCTCAACATCATTGTGGTGACCGGAGCTAATACGGTTCTTCCTGTGGCTCAATGCTGGCTTCCTGGAGAGAAAGAGAAATATTTCGTGTGGGCTTTTAACATGCTACGTCTCTTCATGATTGAGAACGATATTGAACCTCCCAATGTTATTCTCACTGATCGAGATCTAGCCTGTCTAAATTTACTGAACAGAGTTTACCCAGACGTACCTTCGATGATATGCCGCTGGCATATGAACAAGAACGTGGAGAGTATGGCCAGAAAGCTTTTAGGCCAAGTAGACGTTGAGAACCCACGTCCGGGACAACCAAAGAAGGAGAACTCTTGGAAAACTAATTCCTTCATGGCTACGTTCTACAAATCAGTGGAGGCAATCTCAGAAACGGAGTTTGAAGAAAAGCGCAGGGTTCTCGTTTCAAAGAGTAAGGTGGTGTCTAACTATCTGGATTTGCATTGGTGGAAGTACAAGTCGCGCATTGTGAGATACTCCACAAGCAAGTACACCCACTTTGGGGTCCGAGATACATCTACAGTCGAGGGAACGCATGCCAAGATCAAAGCCAAGTTGAAATTAAGCCAAGGCGATCTGTACACAGTTTTCAAGAAGCTGTTAAGCTGGTGGACAATTGCAGCTTGCGAAACAAGTCTTGACTCAGCATGCAACTATTGCTCCTCATTTGCTACAAAAGAGCAGATACAATCGGTTTGTCAGGATTATCACGAGGAACGCTTTGAGAGAAACAGAGAGATTGTAGACGGATGCGGAGAAAATTGTATTGAACGCAGTGCATGCTCGGGGGAATTCTGTGCTGTCCATGGGCGTCCCTGTCTCCACGAGCTTATTGCAATCATCGAATCAAATGGAAGGAAGTACATCACTCCTAATGATTTTGACAAACACTGGTGGATTGACCGCAATGATGGTACAGCTCCTCAAAGAATTCAAGACCCTGCTAGTCTGCAACAAGGTAGGTTCAAGAAAATCACACGCAGAATGAGGTTACCAAACCAAGGTAGTACTGGAACTGGCCGTGACCCGACATACAGCGAACGAGTCGATCAAAATCACTCTGCCACACCTTCAAGGGCTACACAGAATTCCGCGCAGGATCCCCAAGTTTTCGGTACTCAAGCAGATGACCAAGTTGTGCCTTTTGAATCCGCTTTTTTTTTTACCAGCCAGGTCCTGGGGTTATGCAGGAAGAGCACCTTACTCGGAGCAGAACGTAGCAGAAGAATAGGCATTGTATACACACATTTGTAAATCCACCAGTATATTGAACACGACACCGCTAAACAACAAACCACAGTAAACACAGGGAGCCTTCGTACTAATTTGAAAAATTGCAACGGGAACGCGAATTGTAACGGGAACGCTGTACCAAGTTGAAGTTATCGACCAATTAAATCCGAGTATAATTGGTATTTATCCAATCAGGTGGTCATCAGATTCCGTTTATTCAAGATCACCCTACAAACCTACAAATATTAAGCAAAGTTTCCTCTCATCTTGTGGACGCGTAGCGAGCTCTGGCGCTTGAACACCTTATCGCAAACCTCACACTTGTACTTACCTTTTTTGTACTCACGTTTGCGCTTCAGTCGGTTCTCAACCCCCTTGGTTTTTTTTTTCTCACAATAGAACCGCTGTTTCCAAAGCGTTTGACCCTTCTCCACCTTTTCGCCACAATACTGACACTCACCATCTTGAGGAAGCGCGTCTTGAACGATATCCGGTGTCCATTTCATCCCCGCGTAGCTCAGGTAGTAGCGAAGGCGGTAGTTCGTCGTGGTGTATGGCATTCCGTTGTGTATAAGGTCGCCCCTGAACAGCACACAGAATCCAACAGGAATTTCCACGACGCGCGCCTTGGAGTCGT